AAGCATTTGACACAGTCTCCCCCAGCATCCTCACAGCTAAATTGAGGAAGTGTGGATTGGATGATCAGGTAGTGAGGTGGACTGTGAACTGGCTGAAGGAGAGAAGCCAGAGAGTTGTAGTCTATGGGGCGGAGTCTAGTTGGAGGCCTGTAACTAGTGGAGTGCCTCAAGAGTCAGTACTGGGACCAGTATTATTTAATATATTCATCAATGATTTAGATGAGGGAATTGAGTGTACTGTCAGCAAGTTTGCTGATGACACTAAGCTGGGAGGAGTGGCTGACACGCCAGAAGGCTGTACTGCCATCCAGCGAGACCTGGACAGGCTGGAGAGTTGGGCAGGGAATAACTTGATGAAATATAACAAGGGAAAGTGTAGAGTCCTGCATCTGGGCAGGAACAACCCCAGGTTCCAGTATGGGTTGGGGAACGACCTGTTAGCAGTGTAGGGGAGAGGGACCTGGGGATCCTAGTGGACGACAGGATGACCATGAGCCAACACTGTGCCCTTGTGGCCAAGAAGGCCAATGTCATCCTGGGGTGTATTAGAAGGGGGGTGGTTAGTAGGTCGAGAGAGGTCCTCCTTCCCCTCTGCTCTGCCCTGGTGAGACCGCATCTGGAATATTGTGTCCAGTTCTGGGCCCCTCAGTTCAAGAAGGACAGGGAGCTGCTGGAGAGAGTCCAGCACAGGGCAACTAAGATGATTAAGGGAGTGGAGCATCTCCCTTATGAGGAAAGCCTGAGGGAGCTGGGTCTCTATAGTTTAGAGAAGAGGAGACTGAGGGGTGACCTTATTAGTGTATATAAATATATAAAGGGGGAGTGTCACGAGGATGGAGCCAGGCTCTACTCAGTGGCAAACAATGATAGGACAAGGGGTAATGGGTACAAACTGGAACACAAGAGGTTCCACTTAAACTTGAGAAGAAACTTCTTCTCAGTGAGGGTGATGGAACACTGGAACAGGCTGCCCAGGGAGGTTGTGGAGTCTCCTTCCCTGGAGACATTCAAAACTCGCCTGGACACATTCCTGTGTAACATTATCTAGGTGTTCCTGCTCTGGCTGGGGGATTGGACTAGGTGATCTTTTGAGGTCCCTTCCAATCTCTAGCATACTGTGATATAGCATGCTTTATGAAATTACTTTCAAAGATAAGCATAATAAAACCATTTAAATTAAAAATAAATTATTATTTTGTCAGTCCCCTCAAGTTTATAACTGAATTTTGCATCAGAGAAATTTAATTTTTATTTCAGAAATATGCAGTGTACTAAAGGAAATAAGATTTCCCTAGGATTTCCTTTCATGTTAACGTGTAGACCTATTTTTCCCCTTAGGGTTGCCCCTTCTTCTCAAGGAGAATGTCTTTTCAGAACTGTGGCTGCTCAGTGCATCCAGGCATGGTGTGAATGTGTGGTATAAGAAGGAAGAATCTTGAGTCTGTTGTGGTAGCGTGGCAACTTAGGTGCATGTAAGACAAGAAAACTTAGTGACAGAACATTTTACTCTAGGTAACCTTGGCATCATTTCATGAAGACTACAGTTCCACATTTCTGCCGCTGGGAAGACATCTTATTGAAAATTTTTATTTCTTACAACATTTCTGGTGCAGTGGTAGAACAGAACATAAAGAATACTATTGGAGTTGTAGGATGTTGCTTTATCTGAGGCATCATTTCACTAAAACCTGATGTCGTGCTGGAACTCTCTTAGTACAACCATTATATTTCATAAAGATTTAAAATAGCAGGCATTAGCTAGCAAATTAAAAGCAGTTCTTTCTTATATTATGTTAACCCGTATATGAGACCAACGTAGAAACCTTTCTTCTGGCAGTTTCTTGTTGGATGCTGTGTGTTGGAGACCACTGTACCAGCTTTGTGCAAAGCAGCATATGGAAGCTGCTGCCTTCACTAGGAACTGAGTATCTGTTGTCAGTGAAGATAAAGGTAATTTTCCTGAAGTGTACACAGGCCTAGCTCCATTACCAGTGAAGAACTGAGTGCCAGTTTCAAAAGTGTCCCTTCCTAGTAGATTGAATATATGAATACCAATACCCTGTTAACTGCTTGGTTGAGACTGGAGAAGTTCCAAAGATTAATATAGTGGATGTGCTGATCTAACGCTCCCTTCTAAAAGGTTTAATAGAATAAAAATGAAGCAATTGGATTTTAGATATTCAATGGCATTTTTTACTGGGAAAATTTTGTTTTGTAGTTTGTACATTCTTTATATTGTAAATTAAATGAAAAAAATAGGTGTAAAGTGTTGAAAAAGTCAATGAAACAAATTTCAAATGACTTTGACTTTAATGAAAAAAAAGTTGCTTTGCTTTTGTAGATCTCAGTTTAAAAAAAGACATGCATTTGTTAATTAAATAACACAGAAGATCTGTGAACCATTTAATTCAACTTGAAATGTTTTTTATTAAGGTGAATGGAGTTACAGTGGCCCATTGCAGGGGTATTTTGAATAATGATCATTGCTGGCATGTTCTAGTTGCAGAAATAAGTAAAGGAGATGCAAAATGGGGGTTGGACAGTGGTATTAGCATGGCCCTGCTTCTGGGCTAATGTAACCTGTTTCTCACCCAGGGTAGTTTACTTGGATGGAAACCACAATGATACATACCAAATGGTGCTGGTGCCTACTTTACTCATATCTAGCTGCCCTATTTTCTCAAAACACATCCCTGGCAGCATTCAAGGCCAGGTTGGACGAAGCCTTGGGTGAGATGGTTTAGTGTGAGGTGTCCCTGCCCATGGCAGGGGGGTTGGAACTAGATGATCTTAAGGTCCTTTCCGACCCTAATGATTCTATGATTCTATGATTATGAGCTCAAGGGTTTGGTTTTGGTTTTTTTTTTTCTTTCCCTGAGTAAAAATCTTAAATATCCTAAATCCTAAATATGAAAAATGTGAAATATACTATAGGACAATTATGGCTGCTCCTAAATTTAGTCAGAATAAAGCATTCATATAAAATAATTTCAAATATGAATATCATGCAAAAACTTGCCTTGTAAAAAGACAGCACTGTCATTAGCCAGCTGTATACAAATGGTCTTTGATTCTATAAATACTGATTCTCACATGTGAGCTAAAAAAAAAAATCAACTCACTCAGTATTTGGAGGAACCCATAGACACGTCTGGCATATTTGTCTCTATAGAAGCTGAATGTGCCAAGCTCTTGTTACTGAACTTTCAAGGGCTAAAATGATACGGGCCTGATTGTAAGAAAAAAAAAAAATTAAAAAAAATCTGCACTCTACCATCTTAAATCTGGTGAATTAATGGTGTCTTTTGAACAAGAAGGGTGCCCTCTGTACATTATATTCTACCCTCTAAGGGCCTGGAGGTGTGCAATTTTCTGCTCATCAAGATGGAAAAAAAAGTCTCCAGATTTAAATCTGTCAGCTTCCCTAAGAAAATAATGCAGTGAAAAACAATAGTGAGATAGGCTGTGAAGAAAAATGGTCCTTAATACCTTTGGTGGCTAGGCTTTAATTCCTTAGGTGATCCTAAGTTATTTGGATACATGCTAGCACACTTATGCACCTATTGATCATTTGCCATCTAGAAATGAGAGGGCCAGAGTGTATTTTGGACTAGGATTACAGTGTGAGTGAATTAGGTTTCGTGGTATTATAATATCAGCTTTGGAAGGATAGCCTGCCAAAAATGTGATAGTGCAGGAGAACAAGATGGCTCTGAGCATAAACGCTGTCCTCAGTTCAGCACAGAAGCTCTTCTAACTATCTGTAAATACAGAAATATACAGTATTGTTTGTATAATAACAGTTCTTTTTACCCCTTCCTGTTTAAACCTAAAGAATAAAGACAAACAAAAAATGCAATAAAAGCAAGTTCAGAGTGACCAAAGGCAAAGACATATCAGACTTTCCACAAATTTTCCTTTGTTCAGATATACCAAGAGTGCATCTACCAGGGGAGCTAAGGAGATGTTTTCCTCTGAGTTATCCACAGTCCTTGCATTAGCCTGTGCTGCAGAGCATAGACTTTGTGACACATCAGCAAACACCTTCCTTGTCATTGATGTGGCCAGCCCTGTGATACTGGAAGGGTCCTTCATGACACAGTCAGAGGGCTATTTCCACAGGGTTCACAGGTAATGCAGTCTGGAAAGTGGAAGGAGAACACAAACAAATCAAACGTGAGCTTTTCCATGCTCTGCTGGCTGGAATTCACAATTCAAATACTGGGTTTTTACACAGTTTCTTCCAGTGGGTATTAAAAGCATAACAGCATGTTTGTATGTTTACCTGTATAATTTTGTCTGTCTATGTATATTTTAATTTCTGCATTTACACCTACTATGACTGCTTACCTACAGTAACACAACAGTAAGCATGGAGTGAAAGGATGAGATTCATGTAAATTATGATATTGGTCTATTCAGGGCAGTAAGCTAATGACCACCCAGCTCTTAGCATCTGGGGTACGTGAGGTGTCTGTAAAGAAGCATGAACATGTCTTTTAAATTCTGCTGTAGTGTGGCCTGAAAAAGAGTGGCTGAACAATTGGTAACAAACAGAACAATTAATTTATTGAACTTACACAACCTCCTCCCCAAAAGGCTCTGGGAATTTACCATTCTCCAGCTTATATGTGTTGCTCCTGTTCATCTTTTGCACCTCTTATATCAGTCTGCCCTACAACAAAGAAGTCTGTGCAAATTGTACCTTGTGGCTGTGACTTTTCTGAGATAATGGAAAAGAATGTGCAGGTGCAGAAATTGTTACAGCACAGGACCAAGGCAAGTGAGGTTTTTGGCCTGATTTCTAAAGTAGCTAGAGTAGGGAAAAAAGGGGAAAAAAGGTAAAAAAAAATAATATTTCCTCAGGGACTAAAAAAGAAAGCATAGATCCATTGGCCTGAAGGTATCCTGATGCTTTACACTCAGATAGACCTTATCAAACACCAAATAATAGTGGGAAATGTGGAACTGATTTCAATTTGTGTATGCTTTCATTGCAGGAATATCAAATTGATATATTTTTTGCCCAGACGTGGACAGATAGCCGTCTTCGCTTCAATAGCACCATGAAAATACTGACTCTGAACAGCAACATGGTTGGCTTGATTTGGATCCCAGACACAATATTTCGAAACTCAAAGACGGCAGAGGCTCACTGGATCACCACCCCCAACCAACTCCTCCGCATATGGAATGATGGCAAGATCTTGTACACTCTCAGGTGAGCACTCCATGAGTTGCAGTGATGAAAACTTCTCTTATCTCTACTGTGGTAGTAGTAAATTTCAGTGGTATCTTTGTTCTCCTCTGCTGTGTTCTTCGTGATGCTTACCTGACCATGCTTGACAAGTATGAAATATTCAGACGTAAGTACTGCTGAGTTTAAAAAAACCAAACTTGTGTCTTTCTAAAAAAGAAATTTTGAGAAATAGGTCTGTCTAAATTGTAGAAGTTCACCTTTCTGGTGCCTATAATAAAATCAAGAGCATGTAGTCCCATAAAACCTGTCAGAAACCTTTCTGATCAGACTTAGATGCAGGGTTGAATAAAATATTTCCAGATTCATGCTAATGCCATTACTTGATTCTTCAAATAAGTCACACCGAAAGATATTCTGTAATACCTCATTGGATGGTGAATTGCTTGAGGAAAGGCTTTTAGAGTTTTTCTATCTTTGTCATACCATCGACTCTGTGGTATTAGAAATACTGTATACGTTTGCATAAAAAAGTCTGTGGAAATCAAAATATGTGTTTACTTATGGAAGAGATGAATTGCTCAGAAGGGAGTTTTGCCATAAGCCATATTCTACACAGCAAGCTGTTTCAGAAACGTCCCTTTTATACTACATTCTCTCCAGTGATTGTGTTCAGCCCTTTCGGTGCAAAAGCATATTCTGATCATGATTGCAATTGCACTCAGGCTTCAATAGGAAGTCTTTGGCAAACAATAAGAAAGGAATTAAATAGCTAGATAAGCTACTGATATTTTTAGTTCCCTTCTGTTCTTAGTCTTGCTCCAGTGTAAAAAGCTCTTGCTTATTTCAGTAGCCTTTAGATAAAGCTTCAGGGTTAGGATGTCAACTCCAATACCCTCTTGGTTGGATTGGGGTTTTTATTTTTTGTTTTGATGTTTTTTTTTGTTTGGTTGGGGTATCTTTTGTGTTTAATTGTTTGGTTTTTTTTTTCTATTACGTCCTATTGCAGTATTTCACAGCAAGTTAGGTGTCTACCTAATAGGAGTTAGACTTACTTAGCTGTCACTAAAGAGACTATTTGTTGAATGGACTGCAAAATTCTTCTAAAACAGCTAAAAAAGGGGCAATACCTGACCCAGTGGATTGTGTGAATAAGGATTTTTAATTTGTGAAAGAAGTTTTCAGTCCTTTTTGTCCACTCAGGTCAGCCTTCTTTTTACATAGGAGGAGCTGTTCGAATAGCTAAGGTTGGAAAGGACCTTAAGATCATCTAGTTCCAACACCTCTGCCGTGGGCAGGGACACCTCACACTAAACCATGTCACCCAAGGCTTCGTCCAACCTGGCCTTCAGCACTGCCAGGGATGGAGCATTCACAACCTCCCTGGGCAACGCATTCCAGTGCCTCACCACCCTTACAGTAAAGAACATCCTCCTTACTTATCCAATCTAAACTTCCCCTGTTTAAGTTTTAACCCGTTACCCCTTGTCCTACCACTACAGTCCCTAATGAAGAGTCCCTCCCCAGCATCCCTATAGGCCCCCTTCAGATGCTGGAAGGCTGCTATGAGGTCTCCACACAGCCTTCTCTTCTCCAGGCTGAACAGCCCCAACTTCCTCAGCCTGTCTTCATACGGGAGGTGCTCCAGGCCCCTGATCATCCTCGTGGCCCTTCTCTGGACTTGTTCCAACAGTTCCATGTCCTTTTTATGCTGAGGACACCAGAACTGCACACAATACTCCAGGTGAGGTCTCATGAGAGCAGAGTAGAGGGGCAGGATCACCTCCTTTGACCTGCTGGTCACACTCCTTTTGATGCAGCCCAGGATAAGGTTGGCTTTCTGGGCTGTGAGCGCACACTGCCGGCTCATGTTCAGATTCTTATCAACCAAAACCAGGAGGCCCTTCTCCTCAGGGCTGCTCTGAATCTCTTCTCTGCCCAACCTGTAGCTGTGCCTGGGATTGCCCCAACCCAGGTGTAGGACCTTGCACTTGGCATGGTTAAGCTTCATAAGGTTGGTGTCGGCCCATCATTCAAGTGTGTCAGGGTCCCTCTGGATGGCATTCCTTTCTCCAGCATATCAACAGAACCACACAGCTTGGTGTCATTGGCAAACTTGCTGAGGGTGCACTCAATCCCACTGTCCATGTCAACGACAGATGTTGAACAAGACCGGTCCAACACCGATCCCTGAGGGACACCACTCGTTACTGGTCTCCAGCTGGACATTGAGCCATTGACCACGACCCTTTGTGTGCAGCCATCCAGTCAGTTCTTTATCCCCCGAGTGGTCCATCCATCAAATTGATGTGTCTCCAATTTAGAGACAAGGATGTCATGCAGGACAGCGTCAAATGCTTTGCACAAGTCCAGGTAGATGACGTCAACTGCTCTGTCCATCCATTCTGTAGCCCCATCATAGAAGGCCACCAAATTGGTCAGGCAGGATTTCCCCTTAGTGAAGCCATTCTGGCTGTCACCAACCACCTTGTTGTTTTTCATGTGCCTTAGCATGCCTTCCAGGAGAATCTGCTCCAAGATTTTGCCAGGCAGAGAGGTAAGACTGAGTGGTCTGTAGTTCCCTGGGTCAACCATTTCTCCCTTGTTGAAAAGGGGGTTATATTTCCCTTTTCCCAGTCGTCGGGAACTTCACCTGACTGCCATGATTTTTCAAATATGATGGACGTTTAAGAATGATCATTGTTCATTGATATCACTTTGTAATTCAGAAACAATTTATCTGACTTAATTGCCAGAATTAGTATGGCGAGAGATACCTACTGTATGCCCTGGTATAGTCATGTGTTTATTAGAGTTTTGTGTTCAGGAGAAAGTTTACAAGGTTCAACCACCCTCCATGCCTTTCCATCCCCTTCCTTGCCTGTTTTAGGGTGTGAAAGAATTTTAAATTCACACTCTAAGGAAATGTGGAGAATGTTCCTCATAAGATTCCTTATGAGGTTTCGGTTTTGTGGAATTGCATTCCGTATTTCCTGTTATTTTTGTAAACAATATTTGTTTTCATCCCATATCCTTCAATGATGAATTATCTATAGAAAAACATAGACACAGATTTCTGGGTATCAAGAAATTCTTAATGATGTGTCTGAAATTGTTTGTGATTTTAGATAATTATTATTGTTTTGGATAAGACCTATGTGGCCAATGAACAATCTCCAAATCAAGTCCTTTCCTTTTCGGACTTAACTTATGGATGTCAGAATTCTCTTGCATGATACCTAAGGTTCCCTGCCTCGTCCCCTGACCGTTCATTGTGCTGCTGTATAGTAATAGATTATTAGTTTCTCCATAGGCTTACCATCAATGCTGAGTGCCAGCTGCAGCTTCACAATTTCCCAATGGATGAACACTCTTGCCCTCTGATATTCTCTAGCTGTAAGTACTGCTTTGATGCCTTATTGTTGTAATTGACTAGTATTCAGAAGCATGAATTTAATTCTGATTTCTGTCGGGTTGTTCAACCGTTCCGCAACAGGTATATGAAGTTTAGGTTTGCTTAAATATTCAGGAAATTTTTGTTTTCCTCTCTAGCAATCCTGGTGGATGGACTTCAGCCATGAAACATGAAGTCTTCTGTAGATTTACTTTGTTATTTTTACCAGAACCAGCCTTTTTAGTTCATACTATAGTCAAACTTTCAGCAGGAGCAGATATTCATACTAATCTTTGCTATGGTAACCTATAAAATCATGTGTCATGCAAATGAGAATAGAAATTGCCATTTTCTATGGGAGGCGCACAATTTGGGGACATGACTAGCAGTCTCTGAACATATGAGTTTACAGCAAGTAACATGGTAATGCCTCTCAGTTCCCTAATAAAATAAATGGTGTAACTACTGTGAATCTCATTTTCCTTTTATTCCTCAGCTTTTCTAGTAGTCCCAATGTTGTATATAGTGTTGTTGGTACATTTAAAACCTACCTCATAGGCAAAACAAATACATTGGTGAAATGAATGCAGAACGAAAGAGAAGTTAATAGTAAGGTCCAATATTACTGTGAGAAGTTATCTTCATGTTGATTCATTTAAAAAAGCTTGAGAGCTATTTGCTAGTCCGTATACCTGCAGAGTTTCGTAATTCAGAGCCACAAAACCACATTTTACCAACATTTGTAAAAGAGTATCCACTAAAGATACTTATTTTGATAAACTCCAAGACTGTGTTCTTGGACGATTTGTGTTCTCCAAAAGTGAACAGTAAATGTATTGTTCTTTCTATTTAGAAAATAGCATTTTCTCCATCATCTCTTAAAAAATGATTGAATAATAACACTATTTAATGCCTTTATAACAGATACGCTGTTGTGATAGTAGGGTATTAATTTCCATTCATGATATACAAGCAGTGATCCTCATTCAGAAACTCGATTTAAACTTCAGCTAATCCAGTGTGTATTCTTCTTTTTCCCCAGGAAAATGTTTTTAAAAATTCTGCCAATGTAAACATCTCGCTTTCCCCCCAAACATCATTACCACACTGCCATTTTTTAACATCTGTGCATATGAGTGAGCCTAGGCAAAAATACACAGTGGTGGATTTAATTCAGATGTGTGCAATATATGCATACTCTGAACAAGACATAACTGAACAAGAGGCAGATAGCTCCTGAATGACCTTTCCTACTAATGAACTCTTGTCACTGAACTGTATGCCCCTCAGCTGTTTTTAGTTAGTGCATAATGCTTCTCTTACCTTGTGGCAATCTGCTGTTGTTTTGTTGAGGTACTGGGAAAGGAGTGTGTGATATTAAAAATGAAATCCCAGTCCAGAGATACTAATTAAACCTACCACACAAATTTAATAGGTCCTGCACTAGCAATATCTGAAAATCGTGAACTTTAATCTAAACAGGAAAGTTGCTTCAAACCTTGCATTCCCTGGTAGCTAGACGGTTGCAGAATGAAAGTAAGTCAAGCTGTGTGTTTTTTATTTAAAGAGAGAGGATATCAGTGGGAACTTCAGAAGGCTGTGCTGCATGGCAAAGTTTCAAATACATCTTGATTTGCAGAGATTCCTCATAATTTAGATCTGCTAGCTCAGAGCCCTCCTGCTCTTGAAAATACACATGTATTGCCATCATACATGTACTAACATTTATGGAGATAACACAGGATGAAGAAGAAGCTGAATATGTCACAGTTTCTATGTGTGCTCTATGTAGTCTCTTTTCAGATGGAAAACCCCATGGAGAAATGTTAAATTATATTGTATAGTTTTATCAGCCTTTGTAGTCATGTTGATAACAAGGATTTATTTCTTTAGGTCCAAATGGAATTGTGTTCTTCTCTTCAACACATTTAGCACTACTATTATCATAATAGCAGGACATTCTCTGTGTGATTTGTTTGTTTCAGAACGCGGTTGTATTTTAGTGGTGTGCACATTCATAGCAGTCTCTAGATACATGCCACTCAGCGGGACTTATGACTGAATGAATGCCTGAATGATTTATTACTGCCCTCTATGACAAGTTTCTGAGGGAACAAGCTGATTACAGATTCCAAGATGTATGTCTTTGAATAAGATAAAAATGGTTGTAGAATTCACAGCACAGCTTCACTTCCCTCGGCATCCCTTTTGCTTGTTCCCTGGCATGCAGACAAATCTTCACAGTTTCCACTGCAGGCAAGCACAAAAAAGCACAAGTTTAGAAGAATATTCCCTGCAGCTCTACACACATATGAAGAAGGTTAATATTTGAAATTTCTTACTTTTTATATAAATTTTCCTTGATATTACAGAAATGTGAAACTAATCTTAAATAATTTTATTTTCCTCTAGTGTTAGCTAATTCACACCCTAACCCTGTTGTTGCTTTGGGGACAGTTGACATTCCTTTGGTGAGAATATTGAGCTCTACTGGGTCTGGTTGCCAGGATAAATATGGGAAAACCAGCATCTTACACACAAGAGACCATCTCAGTGTGCTAACAGTAATTACTAAAACCTACCTACCACTTCCTGCTGAAAATCTTGCTCAAGAATGGTTCCTGGAGTTCCGTAGTCTCTTTTATAGGAATTAGAAAGTATTGAAATAATTTGAAAGCTCTTCACTCTCTCTCTGTAAGTTTTGTATGTGCTTCAGGTGGTGAGATGAATCATCTGGCATATTAGTGCACGTTGCAGGTGTGTGTCTTTCATTGTCATTCTTGCGTAGATGTGCACTTAGCACGCTGCTTATGTGAAAAGCTGAGCCCAATGGCATAATGCAGGGCTGCTATACAATGTGGCAGCTCTTTCCCCATCCGTGTACCAGATTGATTTGGTCATTCACATGTGACAAACAGTATTCCTTAATAAAGAGATGCTATAACACAGGCATCAATGCCAACACATGGTATGAATGTGTGTGTTTCCCAATGAATGTGAAGAATCAGTGCTGCAAATTGACCCCAGTGTAGCAACCTTTGATATGCTATATCAATTTGATGCGCTTTGTCAAATATGATATCATATTTTCTTTATATAGTTTTAAAGTACTATATATTACTGCATAAACATATTCTGTCAGTGAGATTCTTTCTTTGGGTGAATTTATCCTTCTTAGCCAATGGAGGCTGCTTTGCTACTTTTGGCACTCAGGTAGCATATTAAGCTGTCTTGGTTATCTCTATTCAGCAGTGATTTGAGAATTGTGGAAATAATTTCAGGTTCTGCCATAAAGTTTAGTTTATTGAGGTCGCTAAGATTCGCATAAACATCAGAAAGGAAGAAGAGGTATTCTGTGTGAAGGACAATGTCAGCACAAGTATAAACAAATAAGAAACAGGAAGCAAAAGGCAGGCTGGAAATGAGAAATTAAACATATTAAATGTGGAACTCCCACCATAGGATAATGTGGGTGCTAAAATTCTACAGGGATTCAAAAGTGTTTTGGGAAAACATTGAAAGAAAAATGCATTGGGAGCTATTAAGGATAGTGACATCCTGCTGTACTAATGGCCACTTTTTTAAATTTTTTTTTAATTTTTTTTTTTATTCTGAGGGAGTAAGGGCATTTCACACTTAATAGTAGGCAAAACTGGCCACATGCCTAAGCTACTTGAAGAAATTCTTTTCCATTAGTCCTGACAGGATTCCAGCTGACCTACGTGGTTGGTTTTCCTTTCCTGTGTCAGACACTGTAAGACTGTTGAATGTTCTAGATTTTCTTAATTTAAGAGGACTAGGCACACTGCAGAATAACTTGATCATGTTTGTACCCACACCTCTGCAACAATTGTTACGGTGTTAATTTTTTCAGCCCAGCACAAATTTTCATTTCCTCTCCCCTTCCACGTGCTCAAGATTAACGTAAATTCATGACACTCCTCCAGGCAACAGCATATGACAGTCATATAAAAATGCAACAGGCAAACACATTATACCTTGTTTAGAGCATCTGGTCAACTAACATTTTAATTATGTACAAGGAACTTTAAGGTGGAAATCAGTGCTGGCTACATACCTAAGGCCTGAAACAATCTCTATGGCCATGCTTCAGGGTTTAGCAAATGCAGCAATATTAAGCTACAGTGCAAGACATCAGAATAAAAATAATTACTGAATTGATTAATGGGTTTTCATTCCTTTATTTTTCTTGCTGCTGTCCTGATCAAGCTCCAGGCGCTGTTGTTCATTTTAAAAAACACCTTAGATTTAGGCAATAGAAATTATGACATTTTTTGTAGCCAATTACTTACATTTTCCCCAGTGAGAAGTGTCCTGAGCTGGCCATTACTGGAGCATTGCTGTAAGGCAGGAAAAAGCGATCACGTCTGGAAGCACTAAAATATACACCTGAAGTTTCATTAACAGTTTTCAGTGTTTTCAGTTCAGTTTAAAATAGGGGAAAGCAAAATTTCCAGCTATTGATGGTCCAGTTTGCTCAGTCAGGTCTTTAAACACTTGCTTGTAGCCTTCTAAAAGTTCAAGGGTTTGTGTTTTTCTAAGTGATGTACAAAAGCATGCAAACTATTGCAGAAAAAAGTAAGGAAATGTGAAATGCATTTGGAAGAAATTCATCCGATCTAACATAGTGCTTGAAAGAAACAGATCCTGCCTTTCTAAATATAAACTCAGTTCAATCAAATGTTCCTCCTTTGAACATGAAACCTCTTATGGATATGCAATCAGTACTTTGAGCCTCATATCATTAATTTTCTAACAGAACTAGCTGTCATCGCAAGTTTTAATATGTTTCTCCTAGCCTAGAAAAGTAAATGCTGGTTTTGTGGAATGAGCTGTGCTTTGTTTTATCTCATGAATCTCATCAGCAGAATCATTAATAAAGTCTGAGGGCAGAATTTTATTCCTGATGAAGAGCAGGCCAGAAGGAAAACAGCTTAATGTTCATATCTCAAAAGGAGTTTCATTAAAGATGCTGGCAAGG